ACTTTGATGCAGAATAAAGGCAGGCACATCTTTCTTTTTACAAAAAGTTTTGGTACAAAGACCTTAGGTAGTATTATGTATTACTTACCAAGTTATGCACCTTCTCATGCAAGAATTATGGAGGTTTTGCAAGAGCAAATATGAAATTTTACTATAACCTTATTGCTAGTGTGGTATTTCATTGAGCACAGTGTCATTTAATTTACAGCACATACATAAAAACTGCAAAAGAAAGCCTTTCACATGTTAAAAAAAAATCCTGATTAAGCACAGGAATAAGAAATTTTGGAAAGTGTGAAAGAGACACGAGCATCCGATTAACAGAAGAACACAGAACTGTAGTTTTACCTCTAACTATAGAGAGGCTTTTCACAATAGCAGACAGCATTACCAATGTGAACATAAATTCCTGAGGATCATAATCGAAATCTCACTACAGAGTCAAAGATCTCTGATTACAACACATATAGGAGAGTTTATTCTCTGTCAGACAAAGAGCCATTAGGAACACATGCAGCAGGGGAGAATAAAAAGTAAATAACATACCATGCAAACACCAACAAAGACCCCAGAGCCGTCAACCAAGAGTGGTTCACAGGCTGCTTACAACAAGAACCACAGAATCAGCACATCAGTCTCACACAGTAACTTGTTCTACTCAAAATCCCAACACGCTCGACTTAGCAACACTGCACGGTATGAAGCAACAAACCACAAGATATTTTTGAGCTCAAAGTTAGAAAAATCCCCAGACAAACGCACAAGTTCATCTAAGGTAATGTTTCAACAATTTGCAGCCAATATAGATAATCCATCTCATAAAAGTAACCCTTTATTTCAATTTAATTCTGCCGGTTTCCTAGCCAAATTAATTTTCCAAGTCAGTTGCAGAAGGAGAGAAAACTATAATTTTATAATGAGAACTAGCACCCAACCTAATCACAAGATAATCCACTGCTACTCCATAACRGAATCCACTTTCCATCAATGCAGGGTGACAAACAATAATAAGTTACATTCGGGAGAGGAACATCAACTCCCAAGTAGTTTTCCAAACACAAGTTGAAGCCACTTGATCATATCAAAACCAAAACAAATACAAAAATTTTAAGGACCACACAAAATAAAAAAAAATCCCCAAGATTTAATGTCACTTTGTCTCCTCCAGGTGACATAAGGCTCATTACAATTTGAAAGGTAGAAAGGCGATTTTTAAAAAAATGAAAATTGCATAGCGCTAATGTTGATYACCATTTAAATGTCTGTTCTGTGAAGATCTATATTGCTTCTGAGGAAAAACGTACATGAAAAATTCAGAGAAATCTATTTCAGTTATTTTATTCTGAATACTTGGTTATAAACGCAAACTTCGTAAGAACACCTCTCACAGTATTGCTCTTATTAGCTGCTTTTTAAAATCCAAGTCATATTCATCCTGAAAAAAAAAAAAAACCCCACAAAAATCCCAACAAAACCCCTTCATACATATTAAAATCCACTGAGCATTTTAATGCATTAAAATTTTAGAAGCAGATCTCCCAGGTCTTCACTAAATTAAATCTGGTTGTATCTTAATAGCAATTACAGTTCTYATCTGTGTAACTAGTGCCAGAAGGTTGGCTGGATCCTCCTGTCCTAACAGTYAGGAATCCCCTTCTAACTTCTGAGTCCTTTTGTGTACGGACACCCTGCATTAATCGGAATTAATGTAAAAATTTCCTCTTAACTTTCTATGAGTTTACAGGGAGCAATCAGAAAATTTTTCCCCCACTCCAGAAAATATACACTATTAGTATTACAGTATTATAAGTATATAGCATTATAGTATATTAATGGGAAGAGCCTCYTCCTTGCATCAGACCTATCAATCACAAAGCTATGCAGCCAAACAGGGAATCTGATCCAGCAGAAAACTGACCCGGCAGAAGAACTAGTTCGCTGTCAGATCAATGTGCTCCTTTCAGCAGCTGCCTGTTAGAGCAGATTAAATGTATCATGAAACTGCACACAAAGAGTTTACAGAGAACTGGCCAGCCATTTAAAAAATAAACCAGACTTGGAATAACACTGCATATGAAGCACTCCTTAAAGCTGGTATTTTCTCCTCAGGAGGCATTTCAATCTCCCAGCCATCATGAAGGATACAACAGACAGAAAATGAAAAAAAAAGGCTTTTTCATTGGAAATCCATATCAYGTGGCCTTGGTTTTCAAAACAGCATGTGGCTAGACACAGATGAGCAATAATAAAAGTTCATGTTCTCACAGAGAAGAACAGAACTTCAACTGCCAAATCCAAGGGATGGAGATGGCCTACAATGACTAACAATTACTGTCATTTCATAATCCCCACCAAAACTTTTAAATATCCCTAAAAARGCCACTGTTTATCTGTGCTTTAGTTACCATAGAATCTAAAGTCTATTCTGGTGGGAAGCAATGTGATAAACCATGGCAGTGGGGTATCTCACTCTGCCCATCTTTGCTCCTGCAAGGCCCACGAAGGTGCTTCACTGTATTGTTATTTTTCTCATTTAAGTGGAAATGGCTGTTGTAACTGAACTGAACTCACACTACCCAGCTCCTCAGGGAGCAGTATGTAGTGCTTTCCAGAGGAAATCAGCTCTGCTTCAGCAAGYGGTAGCTACTCCAGTCCTCAACCCAATTAACCCTGGCATAGCCCATGCAAAGGGTGCTGCTGAACCAAGTTCAGACTGTCATTCTCTCCTCCCTCTGACATAAAAAAGAATCTTTAAGAGTGCCTCACCATATTCATTAAAATGAACAATGTTCATCCTACAGCTCCAAACTTATGTTAGCTTGTGATCAAATACATTCCAAATACATGGAATTTACTGAGGCCTTGGTTTCAGCTGGTCTTTTTTTTTTTAGAAAGTGGGGTGGGGTGTGTTGGGTTTTTTTACTATTTTAATACTATCCAGACTAAATTTAATCTCATAGTGAGTCTCCCGTAAATTAAGAGAACAAATACAAGGTGTTAATGAAAAAATACATATTTGACTAAGCACAAGATTTTTAAGCCAAGTGGTACAAAATCAACCTCAGCAATTTTGAAATAAAAYCCTGAAAGCAATCTAAGCTTAGTGAAATTACAGCAGGCAAGTTCAGTGTGTCCAAGAATCTGATTAAATATTCTTTGACCTCAATTTCCTCCCTAGGCATTCTGTTAAATAATATCAACATCTAAGAGCACCCATAGGTAACTAGCAATAAAGTTTCTCTACAGATCGGTATCTGCTAGTCCAATTTAGCATCCACCTGTTCAATGGATGCATATAAATATATATTAACATTTAGAATTGCAGTTTACATATCAAAAGATACAAGCTTTTAAGTGGAGAGGAGTTTCTAAAGAAAACTCTCACCCAGGCATTCCACAGGTACTGTAATAGAAAACAATTATTATTTAAGTAACTCATATGACTCATATTACACCCTAGACAAGAATTAATCCAACTCATTTGAGGCCTTATTTTACCTTAGAAGAGGGATCTGCTCCTCAGCAAAGATACACCTTTATGAATCCCTTCCACTTGGCTAACTTTGATTTATTCCCCAGACTGAGGACGACAAAGTTCACTGTCCAGTAAACCCATACCTTTGGGGAGACCTCCACAAGCAACACCTGCTCAATATTGATCCAAGTCAGYCACCTCCAGGGACCTGACCACCTGAGCCCTCATCCCTCCTTAGTCCCTATTCACAGCCCAGGAAATACAAACAGAAACACAAAGGCACCACCTGGGTCAACARCAAGCCATCCATTTTTAAGGAAGAAGTACTTTTCTCAACTATTTTGTTTCTGCCTGTGAAAAATAAAAAGCTTAATGACAAAGCTGAATACACACAACTTCTAACCCAGATCAATAATGTGTAGTTCTGGTTGTCACCAGCCTGACAACAATTAGCAATCAGTGTATAATGTTGAAGATAATCAACAGCATTAGCCRGCAAGTCTCCTAGACTTTTCTCACTTAAGTGGCCTTGTTTGTAAGAAACAGAAATCAGTCTTAGAGCTGGTCTTTGTCATCCGCAGTATTTGCTGGAAGTTTAAAATGTTACAAACAAATGAAACTAAGTTTTCCCAAAGTAGATCATGAGCAACAAGCAGCATCTAGGCCAACAGAAGGAAAACTTTAATCGCACGTACTATTAACAACAGTTAGCGTTTCTCAAAGWAAAATTCAAAATAAACTAATCCAAATAAAGGGAATGGACCAAACACATTTGAGGTACATTAGCTGGACAACGTGAACAAAGTGCTGAAGCACATAACCAGGAAAGTCCACTTCTTACAGGGGCAAGGGAGGGGGGCCAGCAGACAGGTTAAACTTCACATGGCAAACCGGGTCAAAAGCAGGTTGGCTGGGGTGAAAACGAAGCCGTAATCCCCCGCTGGCCTTACGTGCCACCGACGGGCATGAGGCCGAAGGGCACAAGGAAATGGGAGCAAGATGAAACAGACGGAGAAGAGGAAACAGTTTAAACATATATATACGAACATATACTGATTAAGAGACAGTCGTCACGTGAGCAGCAGATCTACGGGTGAGATTTACCTCCCCCATCAAAGCACCGGAAAAATGCAGAGTAATCTAAGCGGATGCACGCACATGTGCGCATCCACGGACACACACAGCGTGGACACACAAAGCACACGGGGCGCATCTGCGGAGTTGCCGGGGTCCCAGTGGCAGCCAGCAGGTCAAGGCTCGGGTGACGATGCACCGCAGGGCAGCACATCCACCGAGCCGCACCGGGCGGGGCGCGGCGGGTTCTAGAAGGAGCCGCCGCCCCCCGGGGCCGCCCGCTGCCGGGCGGATAAAGTTTGCAGCAGCCGCCGCTGCAGTGCCGGGGCGCGTCCGCCGCAGTGAGCGAGCCCAGCCTGCGGGAGAGCGAGCGCCGGTAGGCCCGGGGCCGGCCGCGGCATCCCTGCCTTCCTTCCCCGCCTCCGCCCCGCCGTGCCCCCGCTCCACTGACCGATCACCTCCTGCAGCTCGTAGGCGTCCCTGCAGATGGGCCAGCCGGCGGCCGGGGCGGCGGGCGCCGGAGCCGGCTGGGGCTGCTGGACGTGGACCGGCGACTCGCCCTGCTCCGCCATGATGCTGCCGGAGCGCACAGGCACCCGACAACCTTCTCCAAAGTTGCCCTCCAGCAACACCTTTCAGCCGCGCTCTGCCTCCCGCCCGCCCTGCCCGTGCAGCCGGCCGCCCGCCCGGCGGAGGGAGGAGGCAGGGCACCGAGGGGGAGGAGGCAGAGGCGGGCGTCGCCGCCGGCCCCGGCCGCTCGCCCCGCGCCGCAGCGGAGAGACGGAGCCCGAGCGCGGTGTCTGGGCCCGGCGGCCCCGGGCGGTGYCGGTGCGGTGCCGGCGGAGCGAGGCCGTGCCCCCTGATGCGCCCCCGCCCGAGGGAGCAGAGCGGGCGCTCTGGCGGAGGCGCCCCGCGGGAGCGGCCCCGCGCACCCGGTGCTCGCCGCTTCCCCAGCGCCTCGTCACCTACCTGCCTGCCTGCTGGCGGCGGCTCTGGCCATCGCCCTTCCCCGCTCATCCCGCGGCTCGCTGGGATGCTCTCCGCGGCTGGAAGCGCTGCGGGGTCCCGCACAGGGCGGCGGGCTGAGCGTGTGCAGGCCAGGGCCCTGCCAGCGGACTCCCGCACTCCGCCAGGGCCGGGCAGGGCTGGAGGGCAGCCACGTCTGCCGGCGGGATGCTGGAAAGCACCTGTCAGGCCGACAGCKTGAGCGCACAGGCTGCTCTGGAGCACAGCTCGCATACAAGTGTCACTGCTGAGAGAGCTGCTGCTGACAAGACGACTTGTATTCGAATCTGAGGACGTGAAGAAAGCGTTTGCTTTCCTCCGTGATCGTGCTGCAGTCCTGCAAAGTAGTTAAATCACCATAGGACCTGAGTGCCCCTCTCCAGGATGAATAGCACAGCTGCACCATGTCACCTCAGTGCACACACTGTCTCAGCTCATGGCACCGAGGGCTGAGGACGTTTGAAAATGCTAAGCAGAACCAAGTAATTTAAACAAAGAAAAATCATAACTAAACTTCTCCAGTGCTTCCCATTTTAGAGCGCAAGGTTAAAAAACCAACCAAACAAACTAGGAATAAATGAAGCTTTTCTGTTAATAATATTATGGATTTTTTTTTTCTTCTACTCTCTTACTGTCAAGTTTYCAATGATATCATCAGGATTTTACTTACTATGAACTAATTTAGAAAATAGTCATTTGTGTAGTCTACAGCCGCACTCCTACTTTGAATGCTTTGTATTTTAAGATTTTTGGAGCTCTGGAAAGAAGAGTGACAACATAAGGTTTCTATGTAGTTCAAAATCTTACTTCCTATSACAGAATTAATTTAAGGTAATTACAGTATGCAAGCAGGAAAGCTATAGCACTAGCTAAAAAAACTGAACCTCACAAATYGTTAGGAAGTATGATGAAGTGTGATGTAAAGTCAAGAAAGATGTACACATGTAACAACTAACATCTGTTAGCTTATTTATTCAGTTCTAGTTCAGTGCAGGATAATCCCATTTTACTGAGAATTTTTTTTGTGTGTGGCTAATTCAGTGAAAACTCAGTTAATAGAAGATTGTTCCAAAAAGGAAAGCAAATTTTTTCTATCTTGTTGTGTTGCTGAGAAAGCTGAAGGAATTCYTAACCACTGCTTAATGTTTCATCAGAGGATGTATCAGCAACTTGCATATATGGAATCATTTGTGCACTGCACTTCTATTTTCTCACAAGCAACAGTTTAGCTTAGTATAGAGAATTCTAGCAGTAGAATAAAGATATTGCACTTTTTTGTGCTAAACTAATGATTCCTGTCAATCTCATTTCTAAAAGCTAGGTGGTTGAAATATTTTCCTATATACAAATTAGAAATTATTTGCCACAAAATTAAAGGTCAGCAAGACTTGGAAGAGGAAGTATTAAATTGTCATTCAGCATTAAGTTTAATGCCAAGACCTTTCTGCCAAGAATAGCATTAAAAAAAAAACTAGTAAAAGAGCAACAGCACAGGCCAAATCAATCAGCAGAGAAAATGGGTTACTCACTATTGATGGAAAACAGCCAACTTCTCCATCTGCACTGTTGTTGTTGAGGGGGGAGGRGGTTGGAGGTGGTTAGTTTCTGAGACATGAATTTCTGTGATGCTACTGCCATATCACTATCTAAACTGCTGGTTAACATCTGATAGCATTATATTTATTTTTGTCCTGATTATTGTCCAGTTTGCCCAACTAATCCCAACAATTTTGGCCATTTCTAGAATKCACCTGCACTCTGCAATTGGTTGAAATGAGCAGCTTTTACAGGAGGACCCTTCCCGGACAGCAATTTTCTGAACACCGGGCCCGTGGGAAGCGTTCCGTGCGTTCAGGGTCCGGCTCGGGAGGAGGTCTCGCTCCGGCGCCGGGAGCGGGRGCAGCGCGGGATCGGGGCCGGGATCGGAGCTGGGGCTGGCCCGGGAGCCGCGGGCCGCTCGCCCTCTGCTGCAGGCAGCGGGGAAGGGCCAGAGCCCTGCTCTCGAAAGGCTTTCCGGACACTGAAAGAATAGCAACCTGCYGGGTTTGGTGGTTCCAGAGAAACAGATAGGACTCACGTATAAATCATTGTTCTTGGATGATCCCATCTGAATGCGGTTTGGTCTTTCTGAGTGCTTGAAAACATAGGATTCCATGAGATTGTCTGTGTCACTGAGTCCAGTTACCAAATGATTGATTCCAAAGTGAATAAAAGCTTTATGCAGCCAGGTTACAATCATAACTGGCAATATTTAAAACCACGCAGGCCGCCATGGCAGAAGAGTTAAGTCATGCTCAGACCTTTTGAAAGTCCCAAACAATACCCTTTGCAGATAGGACAAAAAAGTATTTAGAACAAAATAACTCAGACTCCTTTTCTAGGTTTGCAGAATTTAGTCAACAACATTGCAGACCAACTAATTAGCTTTAAATGTAAGCACACCTGTATAAAATCAAAGAGAAGCATGGGGACTGGGGTTTATAAGCAGTGGGATGTAYTTTAGGACAAGGGACAGCATCCACCCAAATGACTGTTTTTCTGAATAGAAAGGCAGCAGATGCAACCAATACAGCAATATAACCTACCATAGACTAACCCACAGTGAGAAGAACTCTCAACTGTCACTTCTACCTCAGAGAAATGAGTGATGTAAAACCACGCTCTCTTCCAAAAATGGCCTAAAAATACAGTTATGACTATCACGTACAGCAGCACAGCTCTCTGCAATTATGTAGGTAAGGTTTGAAAGCCTCTAATTTGATAGCAGTGAGGGATAGCTGTGCTTTAAACAATGTCATGAGATATGAAGGCTGACACAACAGCAGCTCGTGCTGATGGGAGCAGACAATGTTTTCAACCTCCCTTTTTACTCTAGTGAATGCAAAGTAAAATAGGTAACATGACCATTTTTGTCACTGGGATGCTTGCAGCTTACATTAGTTTCTGTTCACAAAGAATAAATGAGTGTCTTCTTGGCAAGTGACTTTACAAAAAGCRTTGCACTTAATACAGAATCATTAGGTCATTAGTGTTTGAAGACACCTCTGGAGATCATCCTGTCCAACCCTGCCCTCACCAAGGCAGGGTCACCTAGAGCAAGTTACACAGGAATGTGTCCAGGTGGGTTTCAAATGTCTTCCAAGAAGGAGATTCTGCAACTTCCCTGGGCAGCCTGTTCCAGTGCTCTAAAACCCTTAATGTAAAGAAGTTCTTCCTCATGTTGAGGTGGAAACAATGGAACATTTACACTGGAAAACCYTTGATTCCAAAGGCACTGTCAGCTGGGTTCTTACTAAGTTTCACTGAAATTAATGTCTATCAAAGTATAGTGACCTTACAAAATAAGCCATTTCTATTTTTTTTTCCTGGGTTGAAGGCCTTGATGCCTTCATCTCTTTTCTTGTCCTCTCCTCCTTGAAAACCTTTGCAAGCTGTTCCACTGGGCAAATTAGTCCTTTTAGGATCCTAGGAAAAAGCTGTCTTCTGGATATTAATAATTATTGARCCAATAATCATTAGGCTAAAGTTTGTTGCTATGTAGTCAACAATTATTTTAATTATTTACTTATGTGTCACACCCCAAGCTGTTGCTGGTCCTTTAAAAAAGCAAGAAGTTTTTTAAAGGTATTTTTTATTAACCTGGTTTTCAGGCCACAGATACAGGAAATGTTCACATTTTTGTCTCAACCCTTTTGTAAGGGAGGAGCCCAGCATGTTTTGAAGATATAAGTTAAAAAGAATAAAGGAGCCTGGGTGAGCTTCTCTGCAGAGCTGGAGATCAGGTGCAGCCTCAGTGTCAACAGAGCTTGTTCCTCAATGTCACAGTTGGCTCTGCATGGCAGGAACCCCTGTTACAGCAGTTGAATCTTCACCTTGGCCTGTCCAACTTTTCACACAAGGCCATGGGAACAGAGTACGCAGTTAATTTGCTATTGCTGCCAAACCACCCAGAATTTTAAATCACYAGCTAAATATTACCAGCTCGCTCTAGCACCATGAGCCACAGTGGCTGATTACCTAAATCATGATGCCACACCAATCATTACACATTTCAAACATTCAAAATTCAGAATTTTGCATACATTTAGAATATTTACRTGCTAGCCATTAATGTATTGGCAACAACAGCATTTTTGCAACAAATGCCTTTTGGTGCCTGCAGGAATCACAATTTCTATTATGATCATTTGAATGAATTTAGAATACAGTCATCTTGAAAATGACAATGAACTAAAGATTATTGTTGCTTTTGAACTACAGTTTAACATCATTAAGATGATGTGGAGGTGTCTGGCTTACTGAAGCTTTTAGCAGGAATAAACTCTCCATAGCTGTGAATGAATACAACTCAATATATAAAAGAGTTGATTTAGGAACTTCTATGGCTTTCATCACTGTTGGATATGAACATCTCATGCATATTAATAAATTAATCTTCACATACAAAAAGACTGGTGAATATAATTACCTCAATTTCACAAGTGGAAACAGAAAAAGCTTAAGGGATTTGCTAAAGGTCATAAAAGAACTCTGTAGCAAAACTGGGAGTGTAATATGTATTTTCTGAGGCTGAGATTTCACACAGCCTCACAGCAAGATCAGAGATCTAATCTGGTTGACAGCTAGTTCCTGGTTTGATTCATCTGAAAACACTGGCTAGGCACTAGGCAGCCAAGCAAGTGATAGGCA